CTCTGTACTACATACCGTTCTCTTCGCCTCGCTCTTCTCGGGGAGTGCTTCTACTTACTCCATGGTTCACGTCTCGATCACATTGCATTGCTCTCTCGACATTGCTTAATAATAACGTTCACTCCCGGGATTCCTTATGTACGAATTAAGAGAAATTTCGCCAAATGCTACTGGCGAGGCGGGCGGGATGTTCGAAATCAAATTAAAGGCGATGGAAGACGAGGCGTCTTGTACGAGATCGAGTTTAAGGCGATAGAAGATATAGCGCGGCTGATCGATAATTTCTAAGAATTCGGGATGAAAGAGACGACCGCTCTCGATACAGTCGCTCTTGTTCTGGCTTATCGAGAGCCGCGAGCCTTTCGCCATTCCAAGCCTATCACTGCGCTTTAAACTGACATCAGTGGTGCCCAATCAGGGGCTGCCACCCCCCGTCAATCAAAAAACTACCGCGAATTTTCCCAATCATAATTTTTGCTCCCCCAAGACAAAAGAAAATGAGTCATACGTTCTGGATCTGTCTAGAAGGATTCAAGATTATAAAAAGGGCGCGCACAAGGCGCGGCCGGCTCTTGACAAAGGGTAATCGACGCGTACATGTAGATTTTTCTCGCGCTGATTTATTCGATTAAGTTTCGTCGCGACAGTTAATCCAGTGCGCTTTCGTTGCTCGCGAACCACCGATTTTCTGTGCGGTCTTATCGTTAGATAGTGCGGTCTACTCGTTCGAGATGATTCCTCCGTTGCTTGCGGAAATATTAGATATCATTTGTCAACTAATCTGTAAAAAGTGTACAAAGTTATTTTATTAAATTACGTATTGTCAAGTCGCTCGTCTTTCATACAGTTCCGCCATTCACTGCAACAGACAAGATGACCACAGGGTACAAAAATGTATGTTTGCTCATTGGTAAAACACAGCGTGCAAATATCTTCGGAAGGCTTCTCTCTTGATATATTCTGACTGTTTTCAAGATCCCAACTTATAGTGTGGAATAGAAGTTCTTCGGAGGCATTACTATTATCCGAATACCAATATCCATAATCGTCATCCGGCACCTCATATATCGATGCAACATCTGTGAAAAGAAAAAGGAAATCAAATTTATAATATTGCTTATATATTTGTATGAAAAAAATTAACTTTGACTTTATATTTTACAGTAGCTGCTTACTGCTAAATAGTAATAAGATTACCCTGCATATTGCTGAGATTATTCTCCAAAGTTGAAATATTTAATACTGTTTCAGACGTCTCGTTTTGTCCTGTTGGAATCGTTTCCTGTGTGGATGCCGTCACGTTACTATCATTGAACTCAGGTTCTGAGTCCTTATCTGAAAGAAAGAGTTCTGCTTCATGTAGTATAAGCTGCAATGCGTCTCAACAGATATGCAGACATTATTAGTAATATGATCAATGAAAACTTAAAAAATTCGTTTGAAAAATATTAAATTAATGACATATCTTTTTTACCTGTGTTTGCTTCTGAGTTATTGTCTTTCTCTCTTGGACGAGGTAATGAAATTCTATTTCTGCGTCGATATGTACGTCTAATGTTAGTCCTCTCTGAAATAAAAAAATTAAATATTTTTTGAAAAGTGAACATATTATAAAATCATATAAAAAATATATTAAATGACTATAATACTGTACTACCAAATTTTATTGTAATTTATTGTAATTGTATTTGTAGAAGCATCGATATCTCTGGGAAACCAGATGTCTTAATTGTTTCATATCGCACTACCCAAAGTAACTTTGTTAGAATAAAAATATTTATTTTATAGCCACAAATTTAATACTTTAATTACACATCTAGACTATGTTAATATGGCAACTTATAATGTAGCTACCATATAATATCCAACTAAAAATTTTCTTCTGATTATGATGCTTAAATATGAGCCTCTTTTGATGCTTCAACTATAATTTCGAATATATAATTTTTGATTGGATATTATATGGTAGCTAAATTATAAGTTGCCATCTTAACATAGTCTAGGTGTGCAATTAAAGTATTAAATTTATATGTGTGGCTATAAAATATATATTTTTATTTTAACAAAATTACTTTGGGTAGTGCGATATGAAACAATAAAGACATTTGGTTTCCCAGAGATACCGATGCTTCTACAAATCCAATTACAATAAATCACAATAAAATTTGGTAGTACAGTATTATAGTCATTTAATAATCCATTACATATCGTACAATTATTACAATTATTCTGACGAGAAAAAGTATGTAAGTGTAAAACATTTTTTGTATTTTGTATATTGCATAATCTTAGAAAAATAATCTTTTTCATACGTGTAATACTAATGAAATAATATATATGCCAAGAATTTTCTAATGAAGTATTTACAAGAATGTTCAATAAATATATTTTCAGTGTAATAATTGTTACATAGACATATTTATATTTGGCAAATTTCTCCTCCATCTAATAAACTTGAAATTTTACGTAACTTCAATATTATTTATGATCAATAGAAGTATTTCATTTTTTTCAAATTTTTTTGTGATATTGATTTTAATTTTCTCATTAATATTTTCTAGATGGACGAAATACCTGGAAAGCAACCTGGTACAACAGTTTATGTGTACAATGACTACACTTATAACAAAGATTCTCGCAATAATCACATTTTACGATGCAGTACTCGTCGTTCTTCAAGATGTCCTGGTACTATAATCATTGATAAAAATGGCGAAATATTTTTAAATCAAGAACATAGCCATACTAAGACACAATGGAAAATACAACAGTCTGCTATGACAGTGCTCGGATTTAGTTGCACATTTCGGCCCGATTCCGTGGCTCACGCCTATTGCCCCCCCACGTTTCACTTGCAGACGATCGATGTCCAAGGATGTTTTCAGTGTACATCCATTTTGCTAAATGAATTTTGCCATTTACGCGTGTTTTCATAAATCAAAAAAGTAACCTTAAGGAATACTTAATAACAATAACAAGAATAAAAATACGGAGGCGCGTCTAATATTTTTAATATTTTAATATCTTAATCGTAGGATTTGTGCGGACGAATAAGTTTATCCGTGCTCCCGCGGCGGCCGCATGCTCGCGCTAGCGAGCCGTTTTCCTGCGCGCGTGCGAGCGGAAAGCACCGCGGGCGATCAGCTAATAAGCAGCCGCGGGAACGACGCGAGTAAGCGTACTCGCGGTGGTAAGCTCGCGCCAGCGTGTTTCGAGCACCGCGGCTTACGAGCTTATAGGCGGTGCTCTATGTACGCTTATGCTAGAAATAAGATGCTCGTTTAACGCTCGGCTGTCATCCGATACTAATTTTTACCTCGCAATATCTTATGCTCGCTCTAAAGGATGAGGTGATGTTAAAGTAAGGTAAGGTAAGGTAAAATACTCTGTTGTTTCTCTTTTAAGACGAAAAAATTTCATGTTTATTGATAACAATTTTGTTTTTCTCATACAATTAAGATTTGTGTTTTAGCAAAATTATACACAGATGGCTTGTTTTTTTAAAGACAAAAGATTTTATTTTATTGATAACAATTTTGTTTATTGATAACAATTTTGTTTTTCATAAAATTAAGATGTGCATTTTAATAAAATTATTCGGACAATTTCATTGAATCGAAGTGAAAGTAATTCTTCAAATACAATATTAAAATATATATCTAAAAATGTTGTTATTTATTTGTGTTTGCACATTATGTTCAATTTCTTGATAATTGCCTTTAACTGTAAGTCTTATAATTTCGCAATCTATGTAAGACGTGGGAAGTTTCAATTCTATTTCGCTAATTAAATATTTGGTGCATACGTTGACGGTGTCGACGATAGAATTTAGCTGCAACAAATGCGCATTCACGCATTTTACAATATTTTCCAGTCCGAGGAAAGTAGTTTTCTGCATTACGACAGAGACACCGTAAGTTTTTCGTTTTTTCGTCGGTGGCTGCGCTTGCTCTTCCACCACGCCCTCGGTATATTCAGTGTTTTACTTGTATGGCACTATCACAGCTCGCGTCCCGTAAGCGGTAGTGAAGCCGATGGAAATATTGTTAATAACAATCGGACTTGGTCTGCTTTTTTTATTCTCGTTCAAGTACAAGCTCATGTGTTCCACACAGGCTTGAAACTGCTCCCATGTGTCGATGTTGAAACAAATTCCATCAACATAATTGCCTGTTAATTTTACAATCGGCACGAAGCAGCTCTTGTTTATCGCTTGCAATCTTACATGTATCTTCTTAGTGTATGATAAATTAAGACTATAGTGTAGGATGAATTAATAGGTTGGTTAGCAATAAACAACGCTGTTTCTTTCTTCTATCGTTGTTGTTGGTCTCGATGTCCGTTTTGTTAATATCACAAATGTGTGTAGATTTTACAAAACTGGTTACTTTCTTCGGGGCAGTCATTGTTAACATTTTTCAAGTGAAAAATAGTCACAACAACGAGGTAGTATAACAACGAGAAATTCTTCTATCGCAGACGAAATGAAGACTTCGAACGACTGAACTCGAATGAATACGGATTCCCGATTTCTCGAGAGAAATGTCATCTCAAAATCTAAACGAAAGTGGGGAGAAAAATTTGTGTATTGCAAAATAATCGGAGAAATTAGAAATTTCGAGTTTGTTATCGATTAAATATTTGATTATTCATTGGTTAGTTAGTTAATTAATCATCGACAGGTAATATTCCCTCTAATTTTATTTTTTTCTATAACGATATCTAAGTAAACGATTATCGATGAATAACAAAATGAAATTTGTGTGTGTGAGTGTGTGTAGCTAAATAACCGGAGAAATTTAAAACTTTCGAATTTGTCAATGGTTACTTATTTAATTATTGGTTAATTATTTAGTATTTAATTAGTCATCGACAGGCAATATTCATTCTAATTTTATCGTTTTCTATAACGATGTCTAAGTAAATGATTAACCGATGAATAACTAAATGACAAACTGATAAATAATTTAAAAATTTTATCGTATTTTCGAGTTTATCATCGTCTGAGGTAACACACGTCGTACCGTAAAAGCACGTATATTTTGCATTTTGCGTGCAAGCTATACCAAAAAACGCCAAAATTCGAAGCAGTAATATCAAAATGTATAGATTCGGATTTCCCGAGGGCGTTAAATACCTATCGATATTTGTCGGCGTTGTCGGACAAATCGCAGGAAATTAATTACGATGTTTTTCGAACTTTTGTATGTGATAGTTTGGATACTTTACTCGCTGTGTTGTATAAATTAGACTATTTCAATGGCTATACATTATTTCATATCGCGGGTGAAATAATAGAAATGCGCGAGGCATTTGGACACGAGGAAGAAGATGCGAGAGGTCATATAGGCTTTCTGCTATTAAATAAATTGTACGTATGTATACTGTAATATGTAGACTCATGAGATTTGATAACATTTTTACTAAAGTTAGTTATTGTGTATATGAAATTCTAATATATTATGCTATTTATTAACATTTTTAAACACCTATTCAGATATAACAGAACTGAGAGCCACATATCCTACGCATCTATAGTAATTTGCACAACAGGCCTGTCATCGAGCACTAAAAAAGAGTTCATTAACAAAGCACGAGATTCTTTTAAGCGAGAGTTTATTATAATTTTCTCCGCTACTAGAATCAGTGCTCGGAGATAGTTGCCCTTTTCGGGCCGATTTCGTGGCTCACGCCTATTGCCCCCCACTCATCGCTCGTGCGTTAGCGACGAGTCGTCAGATACGCGTAACTAAGGAGCGCGACGTTTTGTCTCAGGAGCGTCCGTATATAAGAATGTCCAAATATAATAGTAAGACAATACTTTTCTAAATGCACCGCGAAAATTCTCAAAATTAAAAGTTTTTCTTCAATATTTTATATTTCATTGATATAAAATATTGAAGAAAAACTTTTAATTTTGAGAATTTTCGCGGTGCATTTAGAAAAGTATTGTCTTACTATTATATTTGGACATTCTTATATACGGACGCTCCTGAGACAAAGCGTCGCGCTCCTTAGTTACGCGTATCTGGCGACTCGTCGCTAACGTATGAGCGGTGAGTGGGGGGCAATAGGCGTGAGCCACGGAATCGGGCCGAAATGTGCAACTAAATCCGAGCACTGATCTATATCGTTCTGCTACACCGACTCGCTCGTAAATAGAAGAACAATTTAAGAGATATTTTCCGATAATAAATAATAGCTTCAGAATTGACCGCACAAGTATGCGAGATATCGTGTTTCAACATTTGCTATGGTATTAAGTTTTTTGTTTCTTTTTTTAAAGTATTATTCATAGCGTGTTGTATGAATTTAAATCAGTGCTCGGATTTAGTTGCACATTTCGGCCCGATTCCGTGGCTCACGCCTATTGCCCCCCACTCACCGCTCATACGTTAGCGACGAGTCGCCAGATACGCGTAACTAAGGAGCGCGACGCTTTGTCTCAGGAGCGTCCGTATATAAGAATGTCCAAATATAATAGTAAGACAATACTTTTCTAAATGCACCGCGAAAATTCTCAAAATTAAAAGTTTTTCTTCAATATTTTATATCAATAAAATATAAAATATTGAAGAAAAACTTTTATTTATAGAAAAGTATTGTCTTATTATTATATTTGGGCATTCTTATATACGGACGCTCCTGAGACAAAACGTCGCGCTCCTTAGTTACGCGTATCTGGCGACTCGTCGCTAACGCACGAGCGGTGAGTGGGGGGCAATAGACGTGAGCCACGGAATCGGGCCAAAATGTGCAACTAAATCCGAGCACTGTGCTATGATATTAGAAATGTTACAACTTTGCCGAGAGACATCTTTGCCTCTAAAAGAAATATTCGATAACGTCTGTCGAAAGTAAGTACATATTTTATTCTTTAGTTTTATTAAAGCAATTTTAAAATAGGATAAAAAGATATCAAGTGCACACGTGAAAAAAGTGCTCTATAAAAAAATGTTACTTTTGTGTAACCTGTTAAAAACTTGTATCACAAAATGTCATCATTGTGATTTATAAGTTATGTAAGTTATAATTCTACATTTCTATATGTATGCATACTTGATATGTGAACTGTTATAAATTGATAATTAGAAACTTCTTTGCATTCAAAATATAGATTTAATACATATGAAATTGATTGTTTAATAGAACCAATTTTTTCATGTACTATTGTTGGTGAATAAGTTACATAACTTCTAACTTACTTTTAACTTCTTACATTATTTATAAACCATATAATTTATTTGCTTCTATTAAATTACTTCTATTATAAGAACAATCAATTTCATATGTATTAAATCTGTATTTTGAATGCAAAAAAAGTTTCTAAAAATCTCTGTATATCAGTTCATACATCAAGTATATACATAGAAATCTGGAATTATAACTTTTATTACATTACTTATAAATTATGATATATCTACAATAACACACGACTAAATTACTTATATTATAAGAACAATCAATATTTGATACGTATTATATCTTTATTTTAATATTGAATGACTAAATATAGAAAAATGAAGAAATACCTTTTCTAATTGAATCCAGTTCCATTACAAAACAAATTGTTTTCCATATCTTTCATAAGTTGTTTAACGTCATCTATTGATGAAAGAATAATTTTGTTTATTTCAGCAGTTGCATTGTTAACAGCATTGATAACCTTTCTAAAGATAAGAAAAAAATAAATTAGACGAAAAAATATATTTGATTAATATTACAAACATGTATAAAAAATAGTAGTATTGTAAGAGATATTATATATAGTATTATAAAAATGCTAATATACAGTACTATAAAAATGTTAATACCGTGACAGAGAGATTATTATATATTTTTATATAACATTTTATTTTCAAAGTATCTTTATTGATATAAGATGATATAAGATTCTCATTATTATGTAAATTAATTCAACTCCATTTTTCTGGCAAAAGTTTTGTTTCAAAATCTTCAATTAATAAATGAATTGAAAAATCTTCAGTACTTGTTTCAGTTATTGAATTGTGAAAAGTTATCTGAAATTAATTTTAATAATATAGGAAATTTCTGAAATGAATTTCCCATATTGCTTATATTTTCCATATAAAAATTATATACAAAATTAATTAAAATTATAAATCACATCATCTTGGTCATCTTGTCTGTTGCAGTGAAAGCATCGAACGTTTGGAACGTAATCGATGTCCGGTATGCAATACTATTTTTGAAAAGTATCTTAGAGTTAGAAAACCGTAACAAGCTGTCTGCTTCAAGCAATCTTTCTTTGTAAAGGCAGGCTGCAATCTGAAAATTTTTAGCATAAGAAAGCATTTTTTATATTGTTATTGTTTGTATTGTAATATTCATACTTATGCAATTATACTTATATAATTTAGTTTCGTCTTTATAAGCACAGTTATATACTGTGGTGGTGTCCACATGAGTTTTAATTTGTTACGTATATGTAATTATTCTTGTCAAATAGTCTAAGAAAGAGACGAGAGCTAACGATATTATAAATGTCAATTTGTTATCGTACGTTGTCAATGCAAAAAAATGCAGGTTTTTTTGTTTCAAATTGTTTCTATTTAGCTGTAAGTTAGTTCAGAATGGAAGACATTTTTCTTTTCATCTTTTCCCATTTCATTTTTATAACGATTAAGTGCCTTTTAAAATGTATATAAAGATTATAGTTCCTAAAGTTGTTTATACATGATATATGTAGCTTATTGTAATTAAATATGTAGATTTTATCTTGTGTGCAAAAGATACATGATACCAAAGATATAGTTTGATACTCTTTTCCTATAATATATATATATGTATAAACGAATAATGCGCTGCAATGTCATCTTACTTTTATAACGTTATAATGTTCAATAAAGATACTAATTATAATCAAACAAAAAACGTGTTTTAATTTTACAATGATCATATATAACATGTATATTTCTACATATACATTTGTATTTCTATTGTATTTATTAGTGTTTTGTTGTGAGCAAACTTTTAATCCCATGTCGTGTATATATGTGTATATATACATATATATATATATATATATATATACATATATATTTAAGATTAACATCTTTCATTTTATACCTAAAAAGAGCATGTCTATATTCTA